GGGGAGAGCACTAAGCTGGCCCAGCAGCATGCTGAAGGGGTCCAGGGACACAAACAGGGTCCCTGCGCTGTCACTGCCATGCAGATGCCCCGGCTGTGGGTTTCTCCACATCTCAGAACTTGTTTGATGGTGGGTTTGCACTTTCAGGCTGTGCCTCTGCCGCGTTTGCTGGGGCGCTTGCAGACCTGCTCTGCTCGCCTCTCCCGCCCTGAGCGAAGCTGGGACAGCCCTGGGGACAGCAGAGGCTGTCGGGGTGAGCGTGTGCCCACACCTCAGCCCCCTCGGTTTGCTGGTGCTGGGACCAGGACATCAGCATTTGATGAGCAGGGACTGATCTTTCTCCCTCGCTGCTCAGCCACCCTGGATTGTTCCCTGCACCGGCACCGAGGAGCTGCGGTGCTCCAAACTGCAAACCCCAGTGCTGGTCCCAGCCCGTTTTCTGCATCCTCCTCCTCGGTTATATTGCAATTGCCATTTCAGGCAGTGCACAAACTCACTTCTCTGCTGCAGGTGAGCTTGAAGTAGACCTGGCTATGCACTCTGGCAGAGAAGAGTATGCAAGACCCTGCAGCTGGGACACTGCTTCAACACAGAGCAGTGCTGGCCCTGGCCACAGAGGGTCAGGGGATGACCCCATCGCTCCTCTCTGTGGCATCAGGCTTGGCACACCTTGTTCTAGATGATCATTTCGAGCCACCCAGCCTGGATACCTGGGCTCTGACAGGCAGATGATTTTTAAAAGGTCCTACTAGGACTGCCAGGGAGCAGGAGCTCACCTTCTGTGGTTAAGAGATGTGCCCTGCCCTCAGCACATGATTGGGGCAGGTTGTGCCAGAGGCCAGAGAGCATGGGGAGGGGGGGCTGATCACTGTGATCACAACAACTTTATTTATCACTCTGGGTTGCGATGGCATGAGGCCTGGTGAAGAGCTGCCCTTATCTGCTAACATCAGCCTCCCTTTGAGAGAGAGCTGGACTAGATTTATGTGGGAAAGATTTTCAGCAAGTCCATCCGCAGCTGCCTTTAATGCCCTGCGTGCTGCCAAGGAGCCCAGGTGGTCCTGAGCAGGACATGGCTTGGTCCAGCTGGGAGCAAAGCAGCAGATGGACTTCAAACAGCAAACTCATCTTGACTTTCCTGGATCCAGTGACCAAAAGCTGCTCCCACCTCCGTGGGAAACAGCAGCACGAGGCTGCTCCTCCTACATGAAACAGGCTGTCCCCTCCCAAAAATCTAATTTCTGGGACAATCAATGCTTGGTTTCTCGCTAGTCACCAGCTTCCCTTGCTGCTTTGAGTTGGTGGGACAGCAGCACAGGTCAGCTGAAGCAAACCAGATGTTTTAACGCATTTCCTGGCCCTTGATGGAGCCGAGGCAGGTACCCATCATGGGTTGGTGGCAAACACCAACACATATCACTGCATCCATTCCTCCAAGCTGAATTACCAGAAACACAACCCCTGGGTGCTCAGTCTTGTAAGCAGGGAGCCTGTTATGTTATTCTGGACTCTTGGCATGAAGTGATGCCTTATTCCCCAGATTTGTGCTCTTGCTAAGATCAGGTGGCATCTCTGTGGACTCTGATCTCCAGGGCTGGGGTCAAGCCAACACCCTGCTTGCCCTGGGAAACATAAAATCCAGCTTTTTAAAGGCATCACTGTACAGCCCATCAAGAGATATAAAAGCCTTAATAAACACGACACCAACGATCAGTTCCCACACCGGGAGTGTGTGAGGGTTGGGAGACTGTTACTGGGATGTCCTAATATGACCCCAGCACTAAAGCGCTGATGTCGAGGACAGGCACACCCGGGTGCATCGGGAAATCCCAGAGCAGCACCGCGCGCGTCGCTGGGACCTGTAACTGCTTGGTGCTGAGCCCTCGCCCAGCACCACCCCCGGCCCGGCCCTCCAAGGCAGCCGACCCCGCAGCCGCACCTCTCCCGCCCTGGCCCCGTGCTGGAGGGTTTGCTGCAGCGGCTCCAAGGGAAGACAAATCCAAACTGTTGCATTACCAAAGTGAAGTCCCACAAAGCCCATCGGGGTGGGGAAGGGGCCACAGCCCCTGCGAGGAGCAGCCCCGAGAGCTACGCCGGGGGCTTTGGCCGGGCACGGGAGCAGCCGTCTTGGACACCACTGCTGGGAAGAAAGTATGGACCTGGAAAAGGCCAGATAGGAATATGCATGCATAGCCGAAACATTCCCTTTGAGGAAAGTCTTCCTCCCCTATTAAGTAATTAAATAAAGCCCCAAGCTCTACTAAAATTAAAATAACAGAATCCATTTATTCTGGCAGGGCCCACTGGTGGTTGCTCTTGCCAAAAACATTTTTGTGGTTCTTGTCTTTTCAAGTGGCTCTTTTGCAATAAAACCCAGATGCCATTAGTCCAGGGAGGCCTCCAGGCAACTGTTTACATCCATGAAAGATGCCCTTTGTAATTAATTAATCTCCCAAAAGCTGTGGTAGCACATTCCCCGTGGCGTGTCCCTGCCCGCTGGCCCTGGCAGCGGAGGTGCATGCTCATTCCTGGGCGCTGAAGAAAGCTTTTGTGTTGCAGCCTCGCCACGAAAAGGGTTAACCTCCTGCTTGGGAAGACACAGTGGAGATTTCAACACTTTTCAAAACGCAAACAGAAGTCAGCCTGCCTTCCCGCTGCCGGTTCAGCAGCTCCTGCTCTTGCTCAACAGCAATGTGCAGTTGTGGGAGGTTGTGTTTCGGGACAGGGATCGGCCGGGACCCCGCCGGCGGGCGGTGGGGAAGCGGGGCACTGCCCGGTTGCTTCACCCTTTCGGGGTTCAGGCGCTTCCAGGTGACTCAGTTGTTGCAGGGTTTCCAAAGCAGAGGGCAACACCGCAGCAGCTGAGAAACGCGGGGTTGGAGCACATGGTGGAGGGGGTGGGGAAAAAAGGTGATTCATGAGATCGCCCTGGGCAAAGTAACAGACAAACTGCTGCCCCGGGGCAGAGCAAAGAGCCAGCCAGCCCAGTCCTTCCTCCAGATGGTGGCTGGTATCGGGTATCCACAGAGGAGCGAAGGAAAGCTGGTGGGTTGCCAGGCTCCTTCTCCTGTTATCTCCTCCCAGCTGAGGGCAATCAAGGCTGGGGGCTCCCTATGGCTCAAGTGGCTCAGGGACTCTCACATTTCATTGCCACCAACTCATTTCATCCATGACTTTGGCCAGTCTGTTTCTGAACTATTTACACTTTTGGCCTTTGCAGCATCAGGTGATGGCAAATCCCACCGTAAAATTATGTGTCTGCTCAGCAAAGGCCATTCTCGTGCTGGTTTGGAATGTATCTCCATCCGTAGTGCCGGCAGCGATTGCCTTTATGTCTCCACATCCTGCCGGATGCATGAGAGCTCTCTCATACCCCTTGGCTTATTTCTTCTCCAGCCTGAATGTCCCAAATTTATGGCAGTTCCCCCAAACAGAAACCCTCAGCAGAGACCAGCAAAGATTTGGCTACTCTAGGACCATGTCTTCGCTCAGCCTCTATGTAACATGGTTGTAAATACAAAGAATTGCTTTAGGAATGGTCAGTCCTCGCTGCCTCATTTGTAACATAATGACTCAGCCTGGGGTTTGGTTGTTATTGGTGTTTTTAGCTGTTGTTGGCTTTTCATTGTTGCTTTTTTGATAGATGAGTTTAATTTTGCTGGCATATTGCGCAGGTTTGCAAACCAGATGTTGCTGCTGCAAGACGGCAACAATAAGGCTGGCAGGGAGCCGTTCATCACGGCATACGGGTGTCGCGACTGCGCCAAGGTCAGAGACGAGGGGTCAGGGCATGGGGGGGGACGCGGGTCCCTGCTCCTCGGGACCCGGGGCTGCAGTTGCCATGAGAACTGCTGGTGGCACGGTGGCAAACCTCACCGGCGCTGCAGCCACCTCCCATCCATCTCCCGTTCCCACTGGGAGGGACTGGACTGCTGGAAGGAGACCAAGCCGCAGAGAGGAAAACTGCTGAGGGCCTGGAAGGAGGGATGGGTTTGTGTAACCAAATGATGATCCTGTAAATCACTGGGGTTTTGCAGATATTGGCTTCTGTCCGGGGGTGATACACGGGGTGATGCAGATGTGAGGGGATGGGATGTGGTGCGGTAGGCAAGGGGGAGCAAGGAGAGGAGCTGGGAGCACCCAGGAGGAGAAGACAAACGGCTGCTTATATGGCTCCTACACCTTTCTGGCTTGCCTTGTTTAGCACAGGGGTGCTCAGGTTATCCTGCGGCCAAATCCTGCAGTCCTTTAGCAAATCACACCCAACGCCTGGCCCAGGAGAGCTTTGAACTCTCAAAGGGACCATGGAGCTGGATGGACCCTGGCCCGAGCCCCAAGCCCCTTCCCACTCCCAGCTGGGAGAGCTTCCCAGAGCAGCCTGCGTGTAGGATTTCTTCGGGTGGAAGAAGGAAATCATTGAGGTCAGGAGGCTGATATTGCACATTTTTATGTGACATCAGCTTGCTGCCACCTTGAAAATACCAAAAGATAGAGTCTAACATCCTGGCCCTTGAAAATCCCTTGTGCCCTGCAGGAAGGGAGTGTTGTTACTCGAGAAATTCACTGTTATTCCAGGAAATTTAAGCCAACGTGCAGGAAACCCCAGTGCGGGCAGAGGGGAATTTAAAGGGATAGGACATTAGGATTGTAGAGATGTGCTCTGTTCTTACGTTGCCATTGCAAGAAGTGGGGTGGGATCCCCCTCAGGAAGCTCCTTAGAGCCTTGAACAGGCAAAATTGATTTAGGTCTAATTCTAGGTAAATAGGCAGCCAAAGGAAAGGGGAAATCGGGAGTGTGTTTAGATGCTTTGCTGAGTCAGAGCATTATGGGCCTCCTGCCAATCCACACGAGGAGGAAAGCAGGCTGGGCTGGAGGCGTGAGGCTGAGGAGCATCCTGCCCTCGGTACCCAGGACATCCCCGGAGCAGCGCCTGCACTCAGCTCCCCCCACCCCCCAGGGACACTCGGCACTAACGTCTCCCCCTCTCCCCCTCTCTCAGGGACCTCATGCCCAGGACACTGGAGGGACAGATCACCATGGAGAAGACCCCCAGCTACTTCGTCACCAAGGAGGCCCCAGCCCGCATCTCCTCCATGTCCAAGGGCACGAAGCTCATCGTTGTGGTGCGGGACCCGGTGACCAGAGCCATCTCGGACTACACCCAGACGCTCTCCAAGAAGCCCGATATCCCCACCTTTGAGAGCCTGACCTTCAAAAACAGGACTACGGGCCTGATCGACACCTCGTGGAGCGCCATCCAGATTGGCATCTACGCCAAGCACCTGGAGAACTGGCTCCTCTACTTCCCCATCGGGCAGATCCTCTTCGTCAGCGGGGAGAGGCTGATCAGCGACCCCGCGGGGGAGCTGGGCAGGGTCCAGGACTTTCTGGGCCTCAAGAGGATCATCACCGACAAACACTTCTACTTCAACAAAACCAAGGGGTTCCCGTGCCTGAAGAAGGCGGAAGGCAGCAGCAAACCCCACTGCCTGGGGAAGACGAAAGGCAGGACCCACCCCGACATAGACCAGGAGGTGGTGCAGAGACTGCGGGACTTCTACCGGCCCTTCAACATGAAGTTCTACCAGATGACGGGGCAGGACTTTGGCTGGGACTGAGGCTGAAAAAAATAATTTAAGAAAAGGAAAATATAATATAATATATATTTTTTTTACATATCAGTAGAGAGGGGGAAAATACAGAAAAAAAAAAAAAAAACAAAACAGTTGTGCTGAAACATGATTTGTTCTGATTTTTTAATTTTGACATTGGTTTTTTTTCATTTTTCTCTCAGAGATGAGGTGATGTGTCTGTCCAGAGAAGGAGGCTGAGAACAGCAACCTGGTCCTATTGATATTGTCTGCAGCTTGGCTGCTTCTTTCAATGGGCCCAAGGTTTAGCACTGACTCTGTAAAAAAAAAAAATGCAGGTGCAAAGTTTTTAGATGTCCTCAGGTCCACCTCCAGAAGCAGCATGGGTGCTCAGAGGAGCTCAGAACCTTACTGGAAGGTCAGCCAGATTTTGGCATGCAAATGCCATTTTAGACCAGACCTCATCATTTTTGACAATGAACCAGAGGAGGCTTAATATCTAATTGGCTTTTAAAACCTCACCTTAGGGGATTTTTTTATTGCATGAAACCTTTCATGAATTTTTTTCATTTATCCAATTTTTTGTTTGACTTTTGCCCCCCCTAAATCAAGCTCTTTTCATCAACCAAACTTATTTTTCATCTTATAGAAGCCAAAACCAATAACCCTTTGTTTTGTTTTGAGACAAAATAATTTTGGTAGCCAAAAGTGAAAGAAAACAAATGATTCTTTTGACTGTATGACGAAAATTGCCAGGTAGTCAAAAGGCCTCATTCACAGGAGTTGGCTCTAAACCAGTGTTCCCCATTGCTAGCAACGTGCACCCCTTTTTCTACGCTGACAGCAGAGCACTTTTCCCAGGGGGGCCCATCTGAAGGAATTTGGCTGATGGGCAAGGAAGGTCCACACTGAGATGATGCTCATAGTACACTTGCCTTGAGGGTGATGGGGGGGACCCACCATCCCACCGCTCTACGCAGGAAACCAGTTCACACTGTCTGGCAGATGCTATTTAAGCCATAATGAAGAATGTTTTAAGTTGGGCCAGTTTTAAAAACAGTGGGAAAAGGGTTGTTTGGGGAAAAATGAACAAAAATCACATCCAGAAAGGGGACCAAATGAGGAGAAGACAAGGGTGTTTTCTTGTCCTTTATTAAAGGAGAACCGAGGGGGAAGCAAGAAAAAGAACACTGGGTGTGCAGGCTTTAAAAATTGTCAGGCAAAACGAATCTCCTCTTTGCAATAACCATGAGCTTTAAATTCTTTGTTTTGATCCTTATCACCTTTTTTGGATGGTAGAAATGTCTCAGCAACAGAAATCTATTCGTGAGGATCTTGTATTACCATGGGCTCATTTATCTGCTGGCTCTTTATCTTCAGCATTTTCTGGACTATAGGAGCACTTAATTATCGCTTGGTGCTGTATAAACACAACACAGTGTTGCTCCCTCTCCTGACTAACTTTAAAAAAGCCCCTGCTGGGGTAAAACAAAGTGGGGGATCACCTGGTAAACTGGTTAGGAAGAAGCCTGGGGACCAAGCTCACTGGCTGCCTGCACACTGGCCAAGATCTTAATAAAATCACAGCAGAGCAGAGATTTCAAGGAGTCTGAAGAGAATTGTTTCCAAAATTACAGTTTAACCAAAGAGGGAGGGATTTCCACCCTGGGCTGTCTTGCTTGACAGGTGAGGAAAACAAGCTTGGTGCCTGCTCAACTTCACGGCACCAAGTTCCACTGCAGGTGTTGAGCCCCATCCCCTCCTGGCTGCCCTGAGCCTCCTTCCTACCCTTCCCTACACACCTCCCCCTGTTCCCAAGGATGTGGAGTCCTGGGGCCTTTGTATCCCCTGAAGACACAAACCCACATGGGTTTGCATGGAAGGCCCATTTCCCAAGGTAATTAAAAGAACTTCACTAGTGTCAGGAGGCCCCAGGACCTTCTCCCACCACTGTCATCCCAAAGCCTTACCTGGCTCAGGTTTCCGTGCCCCAGCCAGGGGAGCAGTGGTGATGGGCTGGTGGCACCAAAGCCAGGCTGTGCTCAGCAGTCTGCCCTGGCATGGCATGGCTCAGTGCCACCCTCACTACCACCACTGAGACCTTCACCCCCTTCCTGACATTCTTGCTCCAGTGTGGCCCATTTTAAGCCCATTTTCAGCAACGTCCTGGTCTTCTGCAAATACCATACAGCAGAAAGGCAGATGAAGGATCACAGAGACCCTCAACAGCTCTTTCTCTTATCTGCCCCCCTCCAGCCCCTCAATGTTCATGCAAGAGATGACATGAGAAAATCAGAGACGGTCAAGCAGCTTTGGGTTCATGGGGTCATGGTCCCTCCCAGCATCTTTGTAGCTCATTGCTGGAGTTCAGAGCTCCAATATCAGAAGTTGGAAGAGTGTTGGGCTCTTGGTAATGGTCTCCCCAAAGTGTCACTGGAGATGAGGGGAGCAATCTGCTTTCTGGCCATGGCAGCCAGATCAAGGGGGAGTGGGCTTAAGGTGTAGCCAAAAGGATGGGGGTTAATTTCTGGGAAAACCTTTCTAAGAACAAGGCTTGTTGGGGCAGGAATGGGAGATGGCCACCACCGCTCCCATGTTGTGCTCTTCCATCCAAGTGCAAAAGCCGAGCTGGCAGCGAGGACAAGGCATCACTCACTGACAGGCACAATCAAACAGTGCCAGCACTGCCAAGGCACGAAATCTGAGGTTTTCCAAGCTGAAAAGAATATTTAAGCATGCCATTTCTTTGGTATTTCAAGGAGATTTAAGATTGGGATAATCTGTACATGCGTTTAACAAGTAAAAATATCACTTAAGAGTATGATTTAAAAAAAATTCAATATAATTATATTGCGACTGTCTTTCATACGGTCACATTTAGACTAGTATAAAGCAGGTTTATAGTGCTACAGCTTGTTCTTCCCATATTGAACTAACTACAGCAATACCTAAACCACCTTCATACAAATGAGTTCTACAACTGCCACCAAATCACTGTCATTAAATCCACATAGCTGTGGTGTGTACACAAGCCTACCTATCACACGTGCACACTGAACTCAGCTACACAGGCATACTTCCCCAAAAATGCTTGATTGTTTTACTTCCACTAATTTCTGAGGATTTGAATCTCTTGCTGCACACCTAGTAAAACTATTTAGGGATCTGAGACTGTAATTGATTTTTTTGATCTGGGCCATAAGTATTTTTGAAAATCCCTCCATGTATGAACAGTGGCTTTTAAAAAGAGGTCATGCAATCAAATGCTTTGACCTCTAATAACATTTAACCTTCTAAACTCTTTAGGCTTATTTTAAAATTTGGCCATGAAGTTTGGATTGTTTTAACCTAAGAAGAATTGGAAGTAAACTATTGAAAACTGCACCCTTCCTAGGCCTACAGTATTGAGCATGTGTATTAAGAGGGGAAAGTACAAGTAGCTAGTAGCTATAAATAAAAAAGTGACCTATAAAGTTTGATTATTTTTTTTTAAAGCAGAAAAATCAATATGCTAACATTGAGAAACTAATTCAGTGTATTAAACTTATTCTGGTTTCAATAATCAAATGTGCCATTAGGCACTGATGAAGCTTAGGCTTATATGCCATGTAACATTTGGATTCTAGAACATCTGTTTTAAGAGAAAAAAACTCCTTTATATAGCATCCTATCGATGTCAAGTGCCAGATTCATCATAAGGAAGAAATTTTTTACAATGAGGGTGGTAGAACACTGGCACAGATTGCCCAGAGAGGTGGTGGCTGCCCCCTCCCTGGAAGGGTTCAAGGCCAGGCTGGACGGGGCTCTGAGCAGCCTGGTCTAGTGGAAGATGGCCCTGCTCATGGCAGGGGGTTGGACTGGATGAACTTTAAAGGTCCCTTCCAACCCAGACCATCCTGTGATTCTGTGATCTTTGAGCAGACAGACACAGCTCCTTCACCCCCCCGCCTGCAGCACTGCACAGGGGCCCTTGCTCAGCGGGCAGTGGGTGTCGGGGGGTTTGCACAGCCCCTTCCCAGCACAGAAACCACCAGCAGCTTTGGCGCAGGGGTGCTGAGCACAAGTATTGCCCCAAAAGCCTTCAAAAAAAATTTTTTTTTTTTTTTTCCACTGATGGTGACATGCTTTGGCACAGGCTTGTGGAGCCCAATTCAGAAAGGCAGCTGAACGCAAGACCCCCCTTTAGCCCGCTGCAGCAGCAGCTTTCAGCCAAACCTGAACTGTGGGAAGGCTCTTTGCACTGTGTTTCAACTGGCCACACCTGGAAAATTTGAGAGAAATGGGTTTTTCTTTACCAGTGCAGTTTGGCAAGACACAAGCTGGCCCCTCTGCTGCTGCGATTCGCATCGCTGCGATTTCTGGAAGGGTAAGGACCGGGCCGCTGCGTCCACGTTGTAGTTGGCGCTGATTTTGTGCCATGGGAAATTTAATCAACTCCTAAGGAAATGCTGCCACCCAATAATTTACACAGTTAAAAGGAATATAAACACCAACGTGCCATGAAGATCAGTGTGTGAGACTCCTCTGTGTGGTATTCAGGGTGGTCTTTGGGGTGCAACACCAAGAAGTTAAATTTCCAGCAATGATTTGGCCATGCCTACCCTGCACTGAGTGATTTTGACTAAAACTGATCCTTAGCCTCCTCGGTTCTCCCACATGCACACTAGCATACACAATGTTAGGTCTCCAGATTAGGGAAAAAAAAAAAAAAAAGCCCATTTTCTTAACCATTAAAAAAATTCTTGTTCGTATATAGCAGTTTATGGCTTTTCTCTCCTCCCTCCACTTTGCTTGGTGATACTGTCATCCTTCTCCCTTTGGTGCTATTTCAGTATGAAACAGACTGATTTTAATTTAATTTAAGAATGAAAAAGCACACATTTAATAAAGTTTACGGGTACTGAGAGGCTGTGCTCTCTTTTTGCTGGCGACAGCAACCCGGAAAGAGTGGGCAGGTTTATGAAAAAAGGTGAAAACACAGAATTACCCACTTGTGTCTGATTTTAGTCTCCTAAACGTAACACGCTCCACGGCAGCTGGGGGGGCTCT